CTCCGCATCGATGTTGTGAACACTAAGGTCATCCGATTTGGAGTTCAAAAGACATCCTAACTAGATGGTTGCAGACACTGAAGGTCGTGTCAGTAAAACGACAGTGGTCACCGCACTTAAAAGAATGAGAACACGTTATTGGACAATATGTATCAACAATAACAAAATATGTTTAAACAGACCCACAGAACACATGATGAGAACTTAAAATTGGCAAACAAGCTCGTTTTCAGTGTATCTTAGTCATGCTATTACAACACAATATACATTGTCATTTACATATGGGGACTTACGAAGGAAAGGAAAGTAATTAGAAATGTTCAACAGTTTAAAATATTATTGTTCCCCACTCTTCAGGTGGGTGACGTGAATTCGTCAGGAGTCAATTATCATTTGTTCGGGTGTACAATGACACTAGTCAATTGTCGGCAGTTCGGCCATGGGAGCCTGAGTGCTTGCACGAATTGCCTTCGAGCACACAAAGGGGAGGGGATTGTGGAGACGGATGCTGACTACCTCCGCTGNTCCTGCTCAGAATCGGGCGTTCTGTCTTTCAACCGTAGATACACTAACGGGCTATACGTGAATCGGGTCTGCAACTTTGCTACGTGGAACGTTTTACTGATGGCAGCTGATAGCCTTCTGTACAAACTCTCTGCTAAGGTGTCATCTTCAAATGGTAATGAGATGTATGCAGGCTTTTTCTTAGTAATGACCCTCTTGGGGAGCTCCTCATGTCTTTGCATCACGGGGTCCACTAGGCGCTTCAGGTATCCATTCTGGATAAAGATAATCCGCACATTTTTAGGTTCTTCAACCAGTATGTCCTCTGTATAGATGCTTCTCGCTCTGTTGGCCAAAAAGAGCATGAATTTCTTTAGGCTAAGTGGTACAAAGCTACGGAAATGAATATACTGCCCACTCCACGTTACTTTCCTGTGGACCGACCGTCTAAACCACCCATCATCACGACGAGTTAGGCAAATAGCCGGATATGCTAGCTCGTCGTTTGCTTCATTTTTAATTGTGAGTTTCAAATTACGATGTTCAACATTGAAATGATCTAGTAGATGTTGATCCTCCTTTGTGGAATTGACTACCCCATTATGCTACCTCGTTCTCTTTTTGTTTTTACTCTTTCACTGGCTCCTGTGGAGCAGAGTATTTTGATCGCACGACCAGGCGTCTGTCTGAGTGTATCTGTGAGAATCACCCTGTGTGATTAAAAAGTGGAATGATTAAGTCAATCACAAGCGCGGTCGTGCGGCACCTTGTTGACACTAATCACACCGTAAAAGTGACAGAAGCGTTCCGACTGCGGTACAGATTAAGAACAGGATGTTTGTTTCCGTATCCTAGCTACAGCGGAGGTAGTCAGCATCCGTCTCCACAATCCCCTCCCCTTTGTGTGCTCGAAGGCAATTCGTGCAAGCACTCAGGCTCCCATGGCCGAACTGCCGACAATTGACTAGTGTCATTGTACACCCGAACAAATGATAATTGACTCCTGACGAATTCACGTCACCCACCTGAAGAGTGGGGAACAATAATATTTTAAACTGTTGAACATTTCTAATTACTTTTCTTACCTTTGCAAATATATGTATATATATATATGTTTTACTAACATGAATGTGATACACTGAAAACGAGCTTTTTAGCCAATTTTGAGTGACAAAATATACATTTTGCGTTTCATTTTGTTGATGTGCTTTAAACGAACAGTCAAATTATTGTGCAATACTTTGAACAAGCTTCACTACATCCTCAAAATCTCCTCCTTACACCATTTGCTTAAGCAATCACCATACTCAAAGGATATTATTTTAACAAAATTTGTCATGTTTTGGCTTTTAATTCTTCTGCTCAAAATATTTCACCCGACACAGCCAAAATGTTGATTTGCAGTAAATCACCGGAGTAAGCAAATCGGCCTGCTCAAATCACCACTAATCCGTGTATTTTATTCCCGGTCAATTGAAAAATAACTTAAATGAACCAGACCTAATATACCTAACGTTGCGCATACGTCTTTGCATACATGTCTATATCGGGTTTACTCCACGGACCACTCGGTGTTTGCTGAGAATTTTCTGTTGTTCTTAGAGGTGGCTTGAAATCTACCGTCTTCAATCCTTCACCCACACCCAGGCTCAAGAAGTTGCTTGTTTCGACCCCTCTGTATTTTTTTCAGTTTTTATATTTGTTAAATGTCAGTATTATAATAAATGTTTGCGTAATTTTAAATAGTTGTTAATGCATTTTTGGTAACGAGTGAGT